CACGAACTCTCACACTTGTTTTGGGATTCTCAAATAATCTCGAGGCCTTCAAGGAACAAAATGAAGGAAACAGTGACAGTTCCCATTTCTTTAACAACAGCTGTGTCAGTGTTTCTGAGGAGATGTTACAAATACATCACATTTCTCTATCTCAGATGACACTGAGAGCATTTCAATCATCACAAAGTCTAGAGAAGTCGAGGAGCTCATTCACACAGAGGGTCTGGTTTTCAGGTAACATGCAGCGATGGATAAACAAACGATGAAGGGATGAATCAACGATAACGATGGTGAGAAGCAGCAACAGACAGTTCCTCCTCTAACCCTGACTAACATTCAGAAAACACATCATGCATTCTCATTCATAATCCTCCAAATCACAAATGCTATTTTAAATAAAGCTTCTCCATTTTCACCTTGTGGAAAATATCCAAACTAACCCGTCCTCTGCCTGATACATTAAACTGAAAATCACAATCATTTCCATATCACACACTCATTTTTCAGGAACGCTTCATCGCCTCATCAGCTGAGAAAAGTTAGATTAAACTGAATGTAAACACTAAAGAGTTTACAGGTCGCTCTGCAGAAATGATGCAGTCCACGTCTGATGTCTGTAATTATAGCAATACTTGAGTAAAGTACCTGGGAAATAGTGTACGGTGACAAAACTCTACATCTTTCCTTATCCTTTTGCATCTTGCCGTGAATCAACGTCAACTTTTGAGAACATGACTGCGTGTCAGTTTCCGCTTCTTATATGCATTGTGTTTTTACAGGATGAAATCTCCGTTATATGTTTATCTACGCATGGAAAGTACTGGGTAAGACTCAGGATAAGATTGTGCTTACGGCAACAGCAAACAAATAATATGTTTGTTATGTAAAATAAGTATAGTTATTACAAAAACCTGGTGTTAGAAGTTATGTACGTGACAGTAAGGTCTAAAAATGGGAAAGGAACAGCTGTCTCATGAGAGTCGTGGCTTTTTTTTTGGGACTCATTCACCCATCGTCTAACTACCCTATGCAGACCTCATTGCTCTTCATACGCTAAGCTATGCTAAGCTAACTGGCGTTTTCAAAATGTTAAACAAGTCCTTTAACTGCCAAACAAAGTCAAAAATAAAACCAGAGCCTCTTTATAAAACTGAAAAAGACATACAGTGTCAGTATTGATATTCACTTGGTCCGCGAAACACCGTTTTTTGAGGGGGGGTCGGCAGAGAAATCACTTCACGTGTCAACCTAGCTGGTAATACAGCTGATTCTGATTCACCATGTGTTTGGTGACAGCGTAATGAACCAGGTGCATGCTGGGAGTCTGGCTGCAGCGGTGGAGTTTGGTGGTTGTTATTATTTATGAGCTTGTCTCTTCTTATTAAAATCTACACGGTGTGTGTGTGCGGCCGCCTGACATTCAGAAAGAGAGAGGAGAGGAAAATCTGTTCTGTCAGAAACACACTCCTCCTGTTCCTCTTCATCACACCTCCTGTTCCTCTTCATCACTCCTCTCTCTGCTTCAGTTACTCTCCGTTTCCTCTCTGTCTTCATGTCGGCTTCTTCTTGCTGTCATGACCTCCATTTCTATTTCTCAGTTTGATCTCTGTTGTTTGTTTATTCAGTGACTCTCTCCTCCTGTCTTACTCATTTCTAACGGTACAAATACGACTTCCACAGAGCTGCTAAAGCATCTAATGTTGCCTGGCTTCCCCTTCTGCCGTCAGACTTTCCTTTTCGCTATAGATCTCAAATCATAGTGAGAAAAGTAAGTAGTAATATGGCCACTTTGCATCTTGAATCTTAAGATTTTGTACCTATCCTCTGACAGAAAACTTTAAATGAGGTTTGAGCTTAATTGTCCAGGAATAACTGATGAATCAAAGCAACACAAACAACTACAAACTGCCTGATTGATGATGCTGTGATATGTGGTTTTAAAGAGGCCCTATCATGCTTTTTGGGTTTTTTGGAGAGGACTCTTTAAAGTAGAGACACTACATACTGATATACACCTGAACATCAGCAGGAGAGGACTCTTTAAAGTAGAGACACTAAATACTGATATACACCTGGACATCAGCAGGAGAGGACTCTTTAAAGTAGAGACACTACATACTGATATACACCTGAACATCAGCAGGAGAGGACTCTTTAAAGTAGAGACACTACATACTGATATACACCTGAACATCAGCAGGAGAGGACTCTTTAAAGTAGAGACACTACATACTGATATACACCTGAACATCAGCAGAAGAGGACTCTTTAAAGTAGAGACACTACATACTGATATACACCTGAACATCAGCAGGAGAGGACTCTTTAAAGTAGAGACACTACATACTGATATACACCTGAACATCAGCAGGAGAGGACTCTTTGAAGTAGAGACACTACATACTGATATACACCTGAACATCAGGAGAGGACTCTTTAAAGTAGAGACACTACATACTGATATACACCTGAACATCAGCAGGAGAGGACTCTTTAAAGTAGAGACACTACATACTGATATACACCTGAACATCAGCAGGAGAGGACTCTTTAAAGTAGAGACACTACATACTGATATACACCTGAACATCAGCAGGAGAGGACTCTTTAAAGTAGAGACACTACATACTGATATACACCTGAACATCAGCAGGAGAGGACTTTTAAAGTAGAGACACTACATACTGATATACACCTGAACATCAGCAGGAGAGGACTCTTTAAAGTAGAGACACTACATAATGATATACACCTGAACATCAGCAGGAGAGGACTCTTTAAAGTAGAGACACTACATACTGATATACACCTGAAACATCAGCAGGAGAGGACTCTTTAAAGTAGAGACACTACATACTGATATACACCTAAACATCAGCAGGAGAGGACTCTTTAAAGTAGAGACACTACATACTGATATACACCTGAACATCAGCAGGGAGAGGGACTCTTTAAAGGTAGAGACACTAACATACTGATATACACCTGAACATCAGCGGAGAGACTCCTTTAAATTAGAGACACTACATACCTGAGATACACCTGAACAATCAGGAGAGGACTCTTTAAAGTATAGACACTAAGTACTGATATACACCTGAACATCAGCGGAAGAGGACTCTTTAAAGTAGAGACACTACATACTGATATACACCTGAACATCAGCAGGAGAGGACTCTTTAAAGTAGAGACACTACATACTGATATAACCTGAACATCAGCAGGAGAGGACTCTTTAAAGTAGAGACACTACATACTGATATACACCTGAACATCAGCAGGAGAGGACTCTTTAAAGTAGAGACACTACATACTGATATACACCTGAACATCAGCAGGAGAGGACTCTTTAAAGTAGAGACAACTACATACTGATATACACCTGAACATCAGCAGGAGAGGACTCTTTAAAGTAGAGACACTACATACTGATATACACCTGAACATCAGCAGGAGAGGACTCTTTAAAGTAGAGACACTACATACTGATATACACCTGAACATCAGCAGGAGAGGACTCTTTAAAGTAGATAGCACTACATACTGATATACACCTGAACATCAGCAGGAGAGGACTTTTTAAAGTAGAGACACTACATACTGATATACACCTGAACATCAGCAGGAGAGGACTCTTTAAAGTAGAGACACTAAATACTGATATACACCTGAACATCAGCAGGAGAGGACTCTTTAAAGTAGAGACACTAAATACTGATATACACCTGAACATCAGCAGGAGAGGACTCTTTAAAGTAGAGACACTAAATACTGATATACACCTGAACATCAGCAGGAGAGGACTCTTTAAAACTATTGTTATGTGAAATGAAAACCACAGCATACATTGATGAGATTTGATCCAAACAAATACACTAAATGGTTAACGCAATTGTCTCATTATGACTATGTACATGTGTGTATGTGTTGTGATGATGATGATGATGATGATGATGATGATGATGAAGATGAAAACCAGCCCCCCCCCTCTCACACACACCTTCCTTGCCTGGTCATTGTCTTCGATCTGAACCAAATCTCGACCGCTGGCCTGAGCGATCCTCTTCCCCGACACCAAGTTACCAACCATCACTGAGGCAGGGCCAATCTCTGAGGAAGAGGAGGAAGAGGAAGAGGAGGGGATGAAGAGGAGGAGGAAGAGGAGGAGGATTAACACAGAATTTGAGTTTAGACCTGTTTTTCCCAGGTTACAATTAAATCAAATTATTTAAATGGACTTTATTGGGAAAAATGTGTGCGTGCGTACGGTGTGTGTGTGTGTGTGTGTGTGTGTGTGTGTGTGTGTGTGTGTGTGTGTGCGCGTGCGTGTGCGTGTGCGTGTGTGTGTGTGTGTGTGTACCTGGTTGTTTCTGGCGGGGTTTGGGCAGGTTGGTGACGCAGGTGTGGGGGCACATGAGCACGTTGCAGGGGTGCAGCGCCCCCTCCAGGAACAGCTGCTTGGTCTCTGACAGGTGGATGCCCCCCAGAGGAGTTTTAGGCAGAGTGTTGGAGGGAACCAGAGCGAGGCAGTACACCCCCACCTGGTGGATGCCGTCTATCGCCTGGAGAGGGAGGAGGGGGGAGAAAGACCATCAGACGGCAGCTTTAATTGGTGTACTTACAGTTGGAAAAGGTTGCTTATAGAGAGTTAAGGTACAATGCATAACAATGCACTATGAGTTAGGAAGATACTTTTTCTTAGTTAACATTAAGCTGTCTTTGGCTCTTTTCTGCTGTAACAAATGTAAGTTTCCCCTCTGTGGGACGAATCAAGGTATTCTGATTCTGACTAGCTGGAGAAGGAGGGATTACTTCGACTGGCTTTATTGGTTAGATTTCCTGTTCCAGTTACAAAGACAATCAAATGGGCGCTTTAATTGGTGTAATGACAATTGAAAAAGGTTGCTTAGACATAACGCAGAGTATGTATGAGTTAGAAACGGACTAGCTGGAGCAGGAGGGATGACTGATGTTTCGTACCTGCAGCACGCGGCTCATCCACTGGAAGCTGTCCTCCTCGGTGGAGTCGGGCCGCTGCTCCGCCACCACCACGATTCTCTCATCGTGAAGCACCGTGATGGAGAACACCGCGATCCTGCAGCACACACACACACACACACATTCAGCATGTTTATTAGCTAGATAACGCATCGTATGGTATCTTATTATATGGTATCATATAGTAATGTCACAAATTGAAACGTATTGTATCAAATGGTACACTGCAATCCTGCAACACACACCACACACGTGCGCACACACACACACACACACACACACACACACACACACAACACACACACACACACACACACACACACACACACACACACACACACACACAACACACACACACACACACACACACAACACACACACACACACACACACAACACACACACACAGGTTATTCTTCAGCTATCTGTTTATCAGGGGTCACATAAATAGTCGAGACAATATTCAAAAGGGCTTCTGTTAGCCCTGCTGTCCCTCCAACAGTATGTACTGGCTATCCAGTCTATAGTCACGATCCATTTACAAAGTTTATAGGAAGAGCAATATTTATTACTGAGAAATCTATTCTGTCTATACACAGATCATTTGCTGATTAGAACGACTGTTTTTAATTCAGACAAGGGAAATATTTGAGGCAATCAAGAGACTTGTGCCAACTCGCCCAACTAGTATGTTCATCCTAGCTAAAAGGATGGGTTCAAACGTTTTCAAAACCAATAGCTAATTTAGAAAATTCATTAGCTATGATTAGCACTGCTCCCACTCATATCGTATTGTATCAAATAGTATTTTATTGAATCAAAACTAATTAAATTTGTATTGTACTGTATTGAGACGTATCCTAACGTATCGTTCCGTGTCGAGATATATTAAATTATATAGTATCTTATTTTATTGTACAGTAAAGTATCGCATTGTATCATATCGAATCTTATCCTATCATTTCGTTTTGCACCATATGGAATCAGATCATATTGCATACAATCCTTTGCTATCATATCAGAGCATCTTAAAGTAAAAACAACTGTATCTCTTTTTGCAGCGTCCCCTCGGACCCTCACCTCCCCCTGTAGACGAACTTCATGGGCTCCACAGCGAGCGCGGTGGCCACGATGTCGTCGGCGTTGTGCTGCCGGCCTCCCACCAGCATCAGCCCGTCCATCTTTCCCGCCACGAAGATCAGCCCGGCCGGCCCGATGAAGCCCAGCAGCCCCGTCCGGGTGAAGGGGAACTCAGAGAGGGGGGTCCCGCTGCTGGTCACCGGGAACACCTGGGGGGGGTGAGAGAGAGGGGAAACAGAGGGTGGTTTAAATATAAACAATATATGGCAAGGTAAAAGGGCGCTTTGAGGTGAAACTATACTAATGAAGGAGCCGCTGAGGGGGTTCAAACTCAGAATCATGGGTGGGATTCCCTGGAAAAGCTCAACTGTTTCATTTGCAAGAACCACATAGCTTATAAATGTACGACTTTAATTTAAAAACAAACAAATATGATAATGAATATTATTTAAATGAATAACCGTTATAGGTAATCCTTCACTCTCTCACCTCGAACGTGTTTTTGGTCATGCCGGTGAGGCCGTAGTACGACGTTCCCGTGGCGACAGTGCAAACACACAACTCTCCGACCTCATCCGTCCTGCAGAGCTGAG